CCCTAACCCTAACCCTAACCCTAACCCTAACCCTAACCCTAACCCTAACCCTAACCCTAACCCTAACCCTAACCCTAACCCTAACCCTAACCCTAACCCTAACCCCTAACCCTAACCCTACCCCAGCGATCCGCCGGCTGGGCATGCGGAAGTTTATGAAGCGGCTTAGCGTTATGCTCCGTGCCCGCACGAGTATGCTCACTTGGTAGCGGCGGAGCGTCGTCCGACTTCCGCCTGCCCTGGCGTCTCCATGAGCGCCGATGCGCTCACCGCACTTCTTGCGCACAACGCGGCCGCCCGTACGCAAATCGCTGGTCTTGCGCAACAGGCCAGTCGCATGGACGCCGAGAGGGACCGCGGCATAGCCAACCAACGCGGCCGTCCGTTTGGTCGCCGCTCGCATGCTGGACAAGCCGGGCCCTGGGGTCGCGGTCGCGGTCGTGGTCGCAGCCGAGCGCATCATTCGGGCGGACGCTCGCTCTCGGACCGCGTTGCGCACCCGCCGTCTGCGACCAGACGAGGCCAGCGTGGCGGACGTAGCCCTAGCGGTGCTCCGCCTGCGGCGGCGCCAGTAGTTACTGCCGAGGCAGACGCAGTGACTACGTCGGCTGTATTCGACCCAATCAACATGCTCGTTAATGCGATGCGTGTTTCCGTGTTGACAGACGACGCTGCCGCACAAAAGAACGCACCGGTGCCGCACGTCGCTGCAGGGCTGGCGAATGCACCTCCTGTTCAAGCCGTCCCTCCCGCGCTGGCCGCTCCTCCCGTGCAGATTGCGCCTCTCGTGGAGGCTGCCCCCGCTGCGGCGGGTGGTGCTCGTTGGGACTCCGATGACGCCGATACGAGCCTTGATTTCGAGGATGACAACCCCCGCATGCGAGGGGCCTTGTTTGGATAGCACGACGCCGGTAAGTAGAGCTCCTTCGCAGAAGCCCCGGGGGGCGAACGTAAGGAATGCGCGCTTCGCTAACCAACCCCTCTGCGTTGCAGGCATAGACCGCGACGGGAGAAGCACGATCACGTGATCGTGTGCATGGGGCTTGCGGCGCTCGGCCACGGGTTGTGCTGCCGTATGCGCGGCGGTCTGCGTCTCAGTTGGGGAATTGTGGCCATAGACGTGGAAGCAGATCGGCGCTGGCCTGGCGCGAGTCAACTCCGTCGACGGCCGGGGAAGGTAGGCGTGCGAGCGTATCCGGTTCTTTTGCTGCAGTTCGGGCGCCCAGCGGCATAGTGTGCGCGTCAGATGATCGTCAGGAACCCCTATGCGTAGGACGCGCTGCGGGTCCGCCATGGCGACGGCATGTAGGGAAGCCCAGCAGAGGAACAGATGCGGGGAGGGATGGGCGGAGAGATCTGTGGCGTGGCGGAAGGCTCGTGAGAACCTTGATAAAACGCCGGAGCACAAAGGCATCACGTACCTACCGCACTGGGCAAAGGGAACGTCGTGGGAAAGCGCCGAGCGGAAACAGACAGCCGCGTTGTAGGCCCCGGTGGGTGCCGAAGGCATAAAAATAAAACAGGGGGCTTGTTCGGAAGACATACAGGGGCGTCTTCCCCGGGAGGTATTTTGAAAGCTTAGGGCGGCGCGCCTAACCGCCAGCGAAGCGGGAGAAGCACGGTCACGTGACCGTGTCGCCCGCATACGCTTTTCGCCGTTCTCTCATTTTCTCTCGCTCCTGCGCCCGTCGCCCTTTGCGACGGCCGTTCCTCTCACCGAGTCTTGACGACATATCGACCGCCTCCCGTGGCCTCTCGACTTGTCGCGCGTCAGTTCTTGCTTTTTCTTTCCTTCTCATCCCCGTTCCGACTGAGCTTTCTCGCATATAAACCTCACACGTATCTACTCAGAACCTCAGCCTTTTGATACGACACTTTGCCTACTCAACCTCGTGTTTCTCGACTCTCGTTTTTACCGACCGCCTCGCTCGACTCGCCGCATCAACGGCCGCAAGTCACCCGCGAAGCGCCGGTTTCCTCACACTGCCTTTTGACGATGCGGCAGGCAAATCTGGAAGATGCCGGATGGCGGCGGCCTGCGTTCAAAAATCGGGCGGAATCCGGCCGCTTCCACGCCCCTGGCCCCTCCGCCCGAGCAGCGCGAGCACATGCACGCAGCACCGGGCAGGAACTTCGCGACGAAAGGCACGGCGCCTCGCGATTGAACTTTCGCGCAACATCACCACCGCGGAGCTCCTTCAGGGCGTCGGGCGACGTTGATGGCCAGTCCCTCCAACTCTGTCATTGCCCCCTAGGCTATCCGTCTCACATGCTATGCCCCACGCGATCGGCTGCCTCAGCCAACGATGCACGGCTATATGATATCGCCCGTCGCCTCGCCTGCCGCAGCTTTCCCTCTGGCCTAGATTAGGGCAGGCTTAGCGCAGCACGAAGTCAATGGATCAAACCCCTTACAGCGGCATTCATATCGATACACCGCCTCCATTTTACTCTGCTCAGGGATTCGTGGAGCGATACCTCCAACGAGGGAACGTTCACCCACCGCGTATCACGCCGTACCGCCGTCTCCCCAGCGCTCTGCCATCGTCGGTTTCGCAGGATCCAGCGTACGATAACCTCCATCCCGGTCCGTCGCTCTCACCCGGGATAATTGCCTACTCAAACTGGTCGTCTGCACATAGCCTGCTGCGTAGAGGAGTCTGGAGCATTCAGGAGACTATAAACGCACCGAGTCACGGTGAGGCTCCTGCAAGTGGCTCGGCGCCAGCGCAGGGGTAAAGCGGCCGCGTTTGATACAGGGCGTGCCGGTGCTCCACGCTCCATGAGCCCAAGAAATTCGCGACGGTCTATCGATATGAATGCCGCCGTAGCGACAAAACAAACCTCACTCACTCACTCACTCTCTCTCTCCACCGCCGCCACCGCCACCGTGTCGATCGCAGGGGTTCGCCCGACGGCTGGCGCGGGCCTCATCAGCGTCTACATTTCCATAGCGTGAGCGCCGTGCCATCACCGACTCTTTCCGCGCGCGCGCTGAAACACCATGTCCGTCCAGTAGGCGCGGCTGGACCCTCTTCCAAATGGCACACTACTATGAGCGCAACCGGCGCACCGACACGCCGCGGCTGAAGGTCTACGCGGGTCGCCATTGCCGCTACGCCCACTTGAGGCTGAAGCGCAGTCTAGACTGACAACACCCGCCCTCTGCATCGCAGGCCTTCTATATCTGGTAGGCGCAGGCTCGTATGTCATGGACGAAATCCCGCTGACAAGGGCTCTGCGTAGCGCCATCGAGACGCTCCATGCGTGCCTAATATGTGCGTACGTCCGTCGATCCGTGATCGCCGAGCTCGGAAATCCTCTGGCGTGGGCGGTCAAGACAAGATTATTCGTTCAGGACCCTAGTGGCCTGATTCTGCGACTCACGGGCGCACAGATGGGCGTACGGAGTCTATGATGTGAGTTCTCAACAAGATGGAGTGCCCGGGACTTGCGCTGAGTCGAATCTCGCATACGGATCGTTACGGGTATCAAAATACGCTCGGCCCGCATCCGTCCAATCCCGCGCCTTGTTTACTCACTGGATCTTGCGCGATCGTAGGGCTCAATGATGCTTTCCATCCATCTGCCATCTGTAAGCCCTCACGCATCCCCAGTTAGAGTAATTATCGGAGAATCTGATGCGCATCGTTGGTCAGGTTTTACATCCGGCGACTATGGATGCGTGCGTATACGCCACGGCGTCGGCATCGGGCGCTGACTCTGAGCCGTCTCTATTCTTTCAAGGGGCAAAAAGAGCGCGCTCTTCGTCGGGATACTAGTGCGTGATTCTTCCCCGGTGTACAGAAAGCGCGCACTAACACATCCTGGCCGCCAGACGCTCCTCGGGCTTGCCCACTTTGCCCTCGAAATCGGCAAGATATACGACCCCCGCTCTCCTTGATGCATCCGACGACTCCGTCGCTGCCGTGGTCGTCTTGACGTACGCAAGGCTTTCACAAGTTCACAGTTCTCTGGATCTGACACCCCGCGCTATGCAGCATCGAGTTCCCGCGCTTCGACCGATTCCACAAAATCACAGCAGGCGATGCTTTTCTCCCGGCGCCTCGAGATGACTGATTGACGTACAAATAGCCATTCTAAACGGGCTCGCTTGCCATCGCGGCCGCAGACGATATAATTACCGCCGCCTCGCTGTGCTGTTTATTGTGCACACGACAAACAGGCATCCGCAGCCACACACCCCCTCCGGGACCCAAGCTTCGTCCGGGCCGGTGAAACGGCTTATGGTAGGATTTTCAGGGATCGTGCTCGTATACGTTGATTTTGGGCCCCCGCAGGCTGCATACGGCCTGTCGCGGGAAGACGGCGAGAATGCCGGCATCTTCATGTTCTCCGGAGGCCTAATCCTCCCGCCCCGGGCACTCCGCGCGAATCCGAATGCCCCATCCGCCACCCGGACAAAGCTCTCAAAATGGCGCGGGTGTCTCGGGTAATCCGACCGATTTAGGCCGAACGGGCATGGCGA